GGAACAGTAACTGTCATTCGTCAAGATGGCCCCCGTGGGTGCTCCACCATAGGGGCTGGGCTTCCCCCAGCACCGTAGAACCGAGACTTTTGCGTAACAGTACTCGGCCAGACTGCGCATGCGTGGCAACGGCCTGCGGCATTCGCACTCTTTTCTGTCCTCGCACAGTCCAGCCCCTGCCAGTTCCTCGAGACCACCTCAGAATCTGTTAATAGGAAAACAAAAGGGACGCAACAGACTCTGAAGCGGGGAGGAGGGTGGGTAGTGGAGCACCCACAGAGACCATCTCGAAGAACGACAGTTACTGCACCAAGGTGAGTAACTTCGCTTTCTTCTTCAAGTAGCGTCCCCGAGGGTACTCCACCATAGGTGACTAGGCAGCAGTGCCCTCATGAGTTGGGAGGTGGAATACGGAGTCCTTGTTTTGTCTGCTGATGACAACACCGCTGATGCCACCACAGAGTCTGAAAGCCACTTTTGCCGGATAGCAAACTCAGTTAGTGTTCGACAAAGATGTTGTGTGAAGACCACATGGCTGCTCTGCAAATGTCTTTTAGAGAAACGCCTTTAAGAAAGGCTGTTGACGCTGCTACAGCTTCTGTGGAATGTGCTCTGGGCTGGGTTGTGAGTGGCAGTCCCTTAGAAGCACAAGACTGTGTTATACATGAGGTTATACGTTTAGAAATACGTTGGGAAGATAACGGCTGTCCCTTTGTTCTGTCGGCTACAGAGGCAATTAGCCCATCAGACATTTCGTACAGTCTATATAAAAGGCAAGAGTTCTACGAACGTCCAGTGTGTGGAGGGACATTTCACGTGCTGAAGACTGAGGTTTTGGGTAAAAAGATGGGCTTGTTGATATGGAAGGACGAAAAGACTTTTGGTATAAACGCTGGATGAGGCCTTAGGACTACTCCGTGTTTGTTCAAGATGGTGTTGGGGGTATTGCCATTAGTGCTGATAGATCGCTAACTCTGCGTGCTGATGTAATTGCAAGGAGGAAGGCGAGTTTTATAGTTAACATACATAAAGGTATGGTAGCTAATGGTTCAAACGGAGGTGTAGTTAAGCCACTCAAAACAATGGGGAGGACTTATATTCGATAGCCCTTTCATGAATTTCTTGGTAATTGGGTGGGCGAAAAGGGAGGTCCCCTCAATAGGCTGTCTAAAGGCCGAAATCACCGCTAGATGAACTCTAAGAGACGGTAATGCTAGTCCTGTATCTTTTAGGTGTAAGAGATAAACGAGGACTCGCTGAAGTGGAGCAGAGTAAGGGAGCAGTTGCTGGGTGGTGCACCAGGAGGCAAATCTGCACCATTTTGAGACATAAGTCTTCCTCGTTGTTTGCTGTCTACTGTGGATGAGTATGTCTTGAACATGAGTAGAGCAGAGGGATTCGGCAGGATTCAACCAACTAGGAGCTATGCCGTGAGTCGTAAGGTGTATATTTGTGGATGTGTAGTGTCCCCCGATTCTGTGAGAGAAGGTTCGGAATGTTTGGCAACTGATATGGTCTGCAAGGTAGCATGTGCCATAGGAAGGAGAACCAGTGTCGATGAGCCCATGCTGGTGCTATTAATATGACTGTGGTGCCATCCGCGTTTTTATTTTCTGAAGGACTTTGGAAATGAGGACTGTAAGTGGGAATGCATAGAGGAGAGGTCCGCTCCAGTTGAGAAGTAACGCATTGCCGAGGGAGGCCGGACCGAGTCCAGCTCTGGAGCAGTATTTCTGACATTTGGTATTCTGATGTGTAGCGACAAGATCTGTTAGGGGAGTGCCCACCATAGGAAGAGAATATGGAGTACTCCGATATGTAGTTCCCACTCGTGCTCTGGTGCAAAATTTCTGCTGAGGAAGTCTGCTTGGATGTTGGTGACCTCAGGTAGGTAAGAGGCTACCGATGTTATGCCGTGGTGAACACACCAGTTCCAAAAATGAATTGATTCCGTACAGAGGGAGCAGGAGCGAGCTCCACCTTGGCGGTTCACATAATATACTGAGGTGATATTGTCCGTGAGGATCCTCATGGTGGTGTTGCAGATGTGATTCAGGAAAGATTTTCATGTGTTCAAGATTGGGCAGAGCTCCAAGAGGTTTATATGGAGCCTTGTCTCGGAACGTGACCAGCGGCCTTAGATTGAAATGTCGCTCATTTGTGCTCCCCAGCCCAGAAGGGAGGTGTCCATAGATATGTGATGAGATGGTTGTTGTGTGTGACTACGGTGCCGATGATAATGGTGAGTGGTGGCAGCCAGAAATGGTGAAGGTAACCTCTGCTGTGGAGATCTTGGTGATCGGTGCCGACACGAATTATGTAGCATGGGGGACCTCGGTGCCGGTGGTGATGGCGACGGTGCCGGTGGAAAAAAAAAAATCAATAAACAGGAGCGTGAGCGGCTTCTGCTTCTGTATGGACTAGGAGCAGTGCCAAGTGCCTTGGTGCCAGGCGCATCAGTGCTGGGCACGCGTAGCATCGGTGCCGGAGGAATTGCGGCAGGCACAGTCGGTGCCGTATCCCGCGTAGCAGGCATGGACGGTGCCGATGGTGAGTTGGGTGCCACCGGTGCCAATGATGCTCTCGGAGCAGATTCCCTCAGTGCGAAGGACACAGCCAGTGCCAACGTGGACCTCGGTGCTGGTGTCAGTGCCCGTTTAGGCGATTTGTTGGTCTCTGGCACCATCGGAGCTTTGGAGCACAGTTTTGAGGTACCCAATGTCCCCGGCTTATCTCCAGAGCTCTCTCTGCTTTGTGTTGTAACCAGCAGAGACCTTGTAGGCAATACCCCTAGGCCTCCATGGTAGGGGAAGAAACCCTACATTTTTGAGGCTGAGTGGAGGAGGCTGTGCTATCAGAAGAGGCTAGTTGAAGTGCCTTGTCAAACAATCATGTGGAGCCGCATCTCTCTGTCCTGCCTGGCCCTCCCAGTCAGTTTTAAACAATGCAGGCATTTCTGTGGGACATGGGCTTCTCCCAGGCAGTGAATGCAACAGGAGTGGCTGTCTGAGGCAGACATTACCTTGCGACATAAGTCGCATTTCTTAAACCCTGAGGGCGATGGCATAATAATTAATATATTATATATATTGTCTTTTCTTTCTCTTCTTTTTTTTTTCAACTAGTTAAAACTCAAACTATGTATAGCTCTACTTGGGGATAACTGGAGGGAAAGTATAGCGGGACTATAACTCGGTTATGAACAAGGGAGAAAAAAAACGTTTGTTTTTTTGGTAGGAGATTAACAAGAAGGTATTTAGGAGAAAAGTGAGGAGAATGAACTAGGAATGGAACGGGCTCACGTAAATAGGAGAGAAGATCACGAGACAGCAGTTCATGCCGTCTGCAGCCTGAGGCAGTCGAGAGGAACTGGCGGGGGCTGGACCACGCAAGCATAGAAAAGAGCACAAACGTCGCGGGAAGTTGACACACATGTGCAGTTCGGCTAAGTACTGCTACACAAAAGTCTCCATTTTGCAGTGTTGGGGCAAACCCAGCATCCACGGTGGAGTAGCTACGGAGACTCCACTCAAAGAAGAATGGGGGAATTGCCTAGGAGCTCCAGGTCACCACCATTACCCACAGTAGTTATGGTTGCTGGAAGCTCCTAGCTGCTTTGCAGTAGCAGTGGCAACTCCTGCATGCAATGTACACTGTCCCAGCCAACACCCGTGGTCCAACTCCACATCCAGGTGGTGACGCCACACTGGGCCACCAGCACTGTTTGGCACAAAGGCCACTGACAGGAGACAAAAGGGGCATCTGCTCCAGACCCTTTAACTTGCTGCCAGAGCCCCAGCTAATGAGGACCAGGCAGCACTGAAGAATTGGCTGGAAAAGATTAGCCCACAGTCTATCCCACGTCCCATTTCGCCCAGGGTCCTGGCATTTCTGTTGGCAGCCCTGATCATGCCACTTATGCTCTACAGTAAGGCACTTGGACAGTATGGTAAATGAGCATGGTACAAAAACATACGTGAAAAAGATTATGCATTTCTGCTGACATTTATTTGCTATACTTCAATACTCTCTCTCTCACACACACACACACACACACACACACACACACACAGGATATTTAACCTTTAAAATTTCACCTATATATGTACTTGTATTTTTAAATAGGGTTTGTTTGGTTAGAGCTATTAATGAGACTAAAAGTATATTTTGTCATTAAAGCAGGCCTGAAGATTTACTTAATTCTGATGAAGTAGATTATATTTAATCCTTTACACATCAAGCATTTAAGATTAATTACTCTGAAGAATCCCTCTCATTAAAATTCTGTTTGAGAATATTAATTATTCTGAAGTTTTGCTTGGTAAAATTAAAAACAAATGGAAGAATCATATCACCTTCTACTCATTGCAAAATATCTGAAGTTTTGTTGGTTGAAATTTTTGTTGTAAGAAACAAGTCTCTCGCTCTCTTTCTGCACCCTTAATTCATTTTTCCCTTACTTTTTTCAGTTGCAGGAAAAAAGACGACACAGCAAACCAGTGAGAGAAAGGGGAAATTCCTACCTTTTACTTCTTCCTGCCCACTGGAAACGTGGGGAAATCATTTGTGTTGTTTTAAAATGTGAGAATATAACAACCACTTTCCCCATCCAATTTTCCAGTGGACAAAAGATGTTAGGAAAAATAAGAAAATTAAAAACAAAGGATAAAAAAATTAATATTTTAAGTCAAAATTAAATTACTTTTTTCTCACTTTGTCAAAAGAGTAAAGCCCCAAAAAAGAATCAAACTTTTCAACACATTAAAATGTGTTCTTTAAAAAAAACTGTGCCAATATTAAAATTTTGATCAGACCAGTTTTTAATGATTGAATATCATCTACAGGTAAAGAATTACCTTGTGCAGGAGGTTTTCACTACTGTTTATTCAATGTGTATTCATAATTCTTAGGAGATATAAAGCAACAAAGGACTGAGTGATATAAAGAAAATAATACATACCCCAGTTCTGTCTCCAGAAAAATTCTAGTGTCTTCTGGGTTGCAAAATACTTTTTAACCGAGTAATGAACTCTCTGTATAAGCATGTTGGAAAATCCTGTGCGTTTCAGAAGGTAAGTCATTGTTGGTGAATGCCCAAAGGGATCAACAGCCCAACCAGACTTCGGTTTTACTCCTGTTGATCAGCAGAAAATGTAAGACATTTGTTTCTTTCTTACTTGTTTCTTATTTCAAAGAAAACTACACCCATATGATTCAACCTAGAGTTCAGAAGAGACAAGTTGTGCAAAGCACTTAGCTTAAGAACATAACAATATCCTGACTTCCAACCGTGGCCAATGCTAGGTCCTTCAGAAAGAATCAACAGAACAGGAAATCACCACGTGATTCATCTCCCAATGCCCATTCCCAGTTTCTTATGAACAAGTTAAGGACACCATCCTTGCCCATTCTGGCTAATAGCCATTGATGGAGCTATCCTTTATGAACTTATCTAGCTCTTTTTTAAGTCCGTTGCAGTCTTGGTTTTCACAACATTCTCTTGCAAATAGTTTAATTACATAAATGAAAGATAAAAATACCAAGTCTGTTTAAAATACTTCATCATTAGCTAGTCCAAATAAAGTATAAATATAAATGAAGCACATACACATAATTAAAAGTAGGTCAATCTCTTGCACTGCACAAAAACCTGTACAATAGACTCTCTAGTATTCCATTATTGTTGTCTCTTGCATTTTTATCGTCACAGTATTTCATATTTTACTTAAAACCCCATGAAACAATTATTCCAAAAAAATCAAATACCCCAAAATCTCACCTTGCATTTAAAAGTAAGCATCTGGCACCTACTGTTATAGAAAAAATGGGAAGCATGAATGCTGTAAGCTCAAGAGATGGTAAATAAGAAGGATCCACGTTTATACTTTTGAAAATTTCATGACATTTTGGGCCTGATTCATGAATTTTCCAAAGTTGATAGAGACAATATTGGTGCTACCCAATTCCTTCATCAAACCCTGGGTTCTCAGGTGCTTTTATTAAAGCAAATTTTATTGCTCACTTATTATGCTTTATTTCTGTAAGTATCTTCTACAGATCAAGACAAGAAAAAATAGGATGGAAAATCATGTAATTGATCTTATTCTGGGAAACTATGTTTGCAAATAAGCATCACAAATACAGGCATCAGTCTTGCAATTTACAATGTATACATAGACTGCTTCACTCACACATAGAAATTCCACTACTTAAATTGTGAATCAGGTCCAAAGCCACTTTTAAGAATTATGGCTGTATTAACAGAATAGAAATGCACAATATTCCTTACATCTAATCTTTTGAAATAACACACTCAGCAAAAATGTAACCATATTTGCACAAATTTGTTTCTCTGAAAATAGTTTAACTTGCAATCATGCCTACTGTTGCCAGGCATCAAAACATTGTACAACCCTCACTTAATTCTTTGTTAGTGTAAGTTGTGGTACAAAAATTGCACATATATACCTAGCGTCTTCTCTAGCCACTGATGTCCTTCTATCAGCTGGTCAATTAAAGCAAAGTAATGAGGAGAAGCTTCATCAGGCATGACCCATCCTCCTGTAACTATTTCAAACTGTCCATCTTCTATTAATCTGGGGGAAAATATTCCGTAAATTGGTATCTATAAATGCAGATGATATAACACAAAATCTATGCATACATTGAAAACTCACAAAATTTTAATGTTCACAGTAATAGCATTGAGAATATAAAATTTGAACTACTACAACTTAAAAAGTAATGTATAATAACTCTCCTAGGCTGCATTATGTCATTTTAATACATGTTCACATAGGAGTAGTGCCAAAAAAACCAAAAAGTTATCTAGTTCACTGGAAACTATTTTAGCAGGAATTTTCATGTGATTATCACACAATTTCAAACCCTTTTCCACAACCACCTACCTAGGATCAAAGTCACAAAATGCCCTCCATACTGTCGAAGCTTCAGCTTCCCAACCAGCTTCCATTATAAAATTATGCACAGTCAATGCAAAAATCTCTTGCATTCAAAAATTCAAAGCCTGGGTCACTGTAAATTAAGCTGCATTTTACATAACAGAGGATACTGTTTTAATTATATTCTTTAATTTCAAGTGTAATTCAAGAAAAACCTCTATTTTAGAAAATAAATGAAATTTACAGGATTACTAGTCTGTCTCTCACACCAGGTATTCTGCCACTGAATTTAGATCTTCTTTAGCTGAGTACACAGTGGTTTGCTTATAACTGTCATTGCCACTCCCACTATAAAAAGAGCCAAGGCTGCAAGGGCTGCTTAGCGCCAACAAAAATGTATGCTAAATTCAATCCTAAACATCAAATAGAACACATTTTGATGCTATTGCAAGTAAACACATTTCTATATTCACACCCTAAGTACAACTTAATAATATTTGTACAAAATAAGCCTTGGGAGATAACATTTGAAAACTAATAACTCACTGATCAACAATATCATGAAATGAATGCCACAACACTGTTTGCAAAGTCATGAAATCCCCCCATCACCCCATATGATATTTAAAAAAAAAAAAAACGCATGTTCCAACTCACGTAGCTCCATTTAGTTTGACTAACTTGACCTGTTCTGTCTCAACTACATATAGAGCCTTCAGATAGCAAGAAAGTGAAGAATGAAGAAAAAAATCTGCATCTCATCATACACAGGTGAAAAGACACTATATAAAATGTCTTCTCCATCACACTCTATGTCTCCTTGCTCTCAGCTGTAAAGAAATTTACATAGCAGTCACTCAGGAAAATACATTCCCAGGGGTTACTGAACTACACAAGTCGGAGGCAAAACACCCGGTTTCTCTCTCTCTGTCTCTTCCCCCACCCCCCATCTTTTCTCTTAAGACAACAAAAGAATCAACCATTGGATCTTGCGAGCCAATCCTAGCCTGAGAGTTTTTGGTAAGCAATGCACAGAAAGCCTATTGTAAGAACTTCAGCTTAAACCAAATCTAGTTATTTTAGTACTAAGAAGTATTTCATTTTTATTTTTATAATTTTTCTGATTTTAATGCATTAACTCCTTTATTCATTTCATCTCTGTATTTACAGTTAAAATAAACTTTTTTGTTGTTTAAATCAAAATTCCTCTCATGTTGTGAACTGTTTGGATAACTTCATTTAAGGTGGCAAGTTGTTGTATATCGTTCCTGTAAAGGAACAAAAGATTTAAAAAAAAAAATCCAGAAAAAAGCTGGGAAAGAAACAACATACATTTTTAGAGGAAAATTCTGGACTGGCAGTGTGTTGGGGGTCACCTGCAAGTAATAACCAAGGCTGGCATGAGCCAGAGTGCAGCTGGTGTTTGCAGACAGACTGCTGGCATGAGACACGTTGAAGAACCGTGAACATTCACAAACACTCAGCCAAATAGCATGCCTGTCACACCCTGTTTGTGAGTGGCACAGGAGGGAGCTACAGCAGCAAGGCACTGAAAGGCAGCCAAAACTGCAGGACAGAGGTGACAGACCCTCACTGAACTGCATCCTAAAACAGCATCGCTATCAGAAAAAGCTCTCTAAGACAAACAGTTGCACCACTGGAATATGGTTTCTTTATATATTTTAAACTCAAATTTAAGATGTCCAAAAAAGAAACCCTTGACAGTTTTTAGAAACCTAAAAAACAATCTTAGTGCAAATTGACTTTTCTATAGGCACTTTACAAGCACAAGAAAAAATAGTTTTTCAACACTTCATACACATATATAAATAGCAGGGCCTAAAAAAGAAGATGGTCTCAAAGCACTTACACCAGAACAACAGTTTTAGCTGGATGGTTGGATAGGCAAGACCATATCTTAGAAATGTTATGCAGAAATTATCACGAGATTTAGAAAGTCTGAACATGAGGACCCAAATGAGAGGTCCAAGCCATAAATAGCACACAAGTTATGGACTTGAGTACCAGGCAGGATATTGGTGCTGTCCAGCAATTGAGGGTATGTCTACACTACAGAGTTGTGTCAGAAAAATAGCCATTTTTCCAACAAAATCTAAGTTACGACCACACTGCAATCGTGTTCTTCCAAAAGTAAATCGAAAGAATGAAGGGGGTTTTTCTGGTGCTGGTAATCATTTTTCTACGAGGAAGAAGCCTTTTTCTTAAAGATCTCTTTCAGAAAAAGGCATGCGTGGACAGGGAAGAGAAAGCTCTTTTGAAAGAAGACGAAAAAGCACAGGTGCCTTGGTGGCCACTCCATAGAAATCACAGCTTAAATGCGAGATAGCATTCACATGGAATGGACACTACCTTTTGAAAAAGCAGATCACTTTTTTGATGCGCTTTTGTGTGTTGATGCTCTCTTTCAGAAGAAGCTTTTTTTGGAGATCTCTTCTGAAAAAAGATTCTTACAAAAGAAGCCTGCAGTCTAGACATGGCCTGAGAGAGGAAGTGGCAGGAAGAATTTGTATGGAAGATGACGAGCTCTGTTTTAGACTTCTTGAGGAAATGATGACTGGTAGAAATCCAATAGGAAATGTTAGAAACACAGGCCAAGATTTTAGTTTGAACAGAAGGACACAGTTTGGAGTAGAGCAGTAGCTGAGAGTTGTCAACAACCGATGGTAGTTGAGTTTGTGATCATAAATGAGATTATCTAGAAAAAGTGTAGAAGAAGAGGAGAAGGGGACGAATAACAGAAGTCTGTGGAAATCCCACAAAACTGAAAGGCAATGAGGATCATTCAAAGGAAGTGTTTAAGGGAGGAGATTAGAGAGTTAGTGGGAGAGCTAGAAAAAGAAAGTCACTGAAATCAGGTAGTCAAGATTTCAAAAAGAGTATGGTCAATGGTATTAAATTTAGGGATCTAAAGTCTTGTTTAACTGGTTAACCGATTAAAGTGAGATGACTGAGGGGCCACTCCAGCCTTTACTGGAGTGCCACTTCTCCACCCACCGTGGCCAGGCAGAAATGACCCCCGGCTGCAGACAAGGGTTGCTCCGGCCAGCCAGTCAGAGAAGCCCCTGCCAGCATTTGGGGGGGGCCGAGAAAGGCCGGCCATGAACAGGGGCTGTCCATGGTTAACCCAAATTAGTAAGTCTCACATGTTACCAGTTAACCATTCATATCCCACATTCAAGTCAGCTGAAATATCAAGGATGATGAGGATGGAGTGCTGGTTCTGAGTTTTAACTAAGACAAGATCATTAAGGATTTTGGTGAGAGTGTTTTTGGAACACAAGCAGTGGAAGCCAGACTGAAAACATGTCTAGAATAGAACTGGAGGAGCGGAACTCCAGAATGCTTTAAGTAGCTCATTCAACAATCACATAAATCAAAGGGAAAGGAGCACTTGGATGGGTTGTTTAGTTTAGTTTTTAAGATGAGCAATACAAAGCATGTGTTTGTCATGAAAGGAAAGATCCAGACTGAAAGAGATGAAGAAAGAGTAAAGGAGGGGATAACAGTGGGCATGAAAGAGATTAGAAGACAGGATGGGTATATTCACTGGGAGGGAGTGGGAAGGAATGTGTTATAGATAGAAATGTGAGAAATCTGTGTGAAGAGATGCAAGAGATAGTTGTGAAAGGGAAAGTAAGTGGATGCAGAGGGTAATGCAAAAGTTTGTTTTCTCTTGCAGAAAATAAGAGATACTGCATAGAGCAGGAGTCGGCAACCTGTGGCACGCAAGTCAATTTTCATTGGCACACAAGGCAGGAGCTCATCCCCACTCCTCCTCCCCCATGCAGCTGGGAGCCTGCACCAGTGTTGCCTTACCGTACGCGCCCATGCGATGACACAAAAATTTCTAATCTAATCCCATCCACCTCCACAGCAGCACTCTCTTTCCTCCTGCTCCTACAAGGTGAGTGCAGAGGCTGCTCCTACTGGCGGGGAGGGAGATAGGACCAGAGACAACACGATGCCATGTTGCAAGCTGGCTGCCACTAGGGCTAAAGCTGCACGTGGGATGGCTGCCGCTAGTGTTTTGGGCCTAGAACATGTGGGTGGGCTGCTGCCACTGCGTGTTGAAGTCATGGACAGGCAGCTTGCTGCTGGAGGGTTGAAGCTGCAGATGAGTGGGTTGCGGCTGGGGGAAGGGGGGGGGGAACGCTGAAGCAATGGATGGGCAGGTTGCTGCTGGGGGGTTGAAGCCGTGGGTAGGCAGGTTGGAGACAGGGACAGCCGTGGAGCTGCACTGGGGAGTGGCTGCTTGGGGAGCCACTCTGGCATGCCACAAGTTGCCAAACCTGTCTCAGAGGGTTGTGCGTTGCTTAGAGTTTCCAACTACGAGCCCGAAATCAAAGAACTCAGCCAGGCAAAGGAAGGCCAAGGATCACACCAAACGGTAAGATCTGCATCTTTATTTATTAATTAAGCTGCTGTAACTAGGCTATTGTTGACTTTAAAAAAATATTACCAGCACACTGACCCATAAATAGAAGTGAATAAGTTAAATCTCGGCATGCTGCTTCTGAAAGGTTGCTGACCCTTGGTATATAGGGAAATGTGATAGCAAGAAAAGGAGAGGGGAGTGTTGAGTGCATAAAAGGTTCAGAAAAGATGGCTTGTGTTGAGAACATGGGATTCACTCAAGTTAGAAAGAATGTTGCTCAGTTCAAAATATGGCTGGACTGAATACATTTGTAGTGGAGGAAGTCAGCCTGGTCACAGGATTTCCATTAGAGTTGTACCATGAAGCAAGAACAGGAACGGATTTGGCTCATGGAGGTGGGCCAGGGTCTGAGGTTGACAGAGTGGACCTTGTAACGGAAGAGGGGCCCAAAAGAGTCCACAGTGAAGGATACTGAAGCATGGAGCAAAACAACAACGATATAAATGGAAGACAGGGCAGAAACTGGGAAGGATAGGGCTGAAAGCTGATGAGAAGTCTACAAGAGAGACTGGGAATCATGGACAGGCTCAACAACAGATCACAGCGGATTGATGGGAGATGGTGAAAGAGACCAAATGATGGCCGAAGAAGGAGCATTCACAGCAACAGAAAAATTAAAGAAAATGCTTTGTCTGGTGAAGACTAAAACAGATGAATGGCCCTTTTGGTAAGCGTAAGAGTTGAATCAGAGCTTCAAGGTCAAACGAAGAAGTGAGGACAAACCCCACTCACACGTTTTGGGGTCAGATTATCAACAACAAGAAAACTGAAGAATTCATGTAAGGAAGAGGGCCAGAAGTCTAACTCAAACAGGAAGATTGACCAGTGAGGAGTTGGGTGGACAGTAAATAATAGCAACATGGAGGAAGAAAGGAAAGGCAAGTCAGATGCAGTACTGTTCAAAAGGGGTGAAAGTCCAGTCCAGAGAAGAGAATATAAAAGAAGGAGTGGCATCTATAGGCAGGGTCAGATAAAGGGATCCATGTCTCATAACCAAACATCAGAAGGAGAGAGATATGAAACTGTCATGAACAGATTTAGATGTTCTGTTTTGAATTTTTAACAAATATAGAGTAAGTATTCCAGGGAGCGAGGGAAGAAAGATTAGAAATGGTGGCATAAGACAGGGCTACCCATCACTACTGTCCCTAAATTTCACTTTCAATCAAGAGTTTTTTAATTAACTTTCACAATTTCTAAAAGCAGTCATGTCTGAATTATAAATTAAAAAAACATCAAACAAGTCAAAGCCAGAGATTGCCCAAGTAAAATTGCCTGGTCAAATTCACTGCTAACATTATATCAGATGCAATGACTAAGGAAAGAATATGTAGTAAATTGACAAAGAAAAATATTTGTAATTTAAGAGACTACTATAACACTGAAATAGGCAGGCTTCCATTTCTACAACTCCCTGCTATTTTACCCACTGTTCACTCTTTCTCCATTGCCTCCTACAACAGTCTGCTGTTACCATCCACACCTTCCATTGCACCAACCTCATAAGTCCCGTAACACAAATCCTAACAATATGTGCAATTCTCACTGACCTAATAAGATCCATAGGAAGTGAGCATTTGAGGAGCTCTATGAGGGGGGTGGAGGGGAGGGAATAATGGTGACATCTTCCAGCCCATCTCCTGATTCACATCCCACCATGGAACAGATAAACCAAGTTGCCAACTCTCATGATTTTAATGAGAGTACAGTCATGATATTTATCCTTTTATTAGGATCAAAGCCCCTGGAATTTTATGATTATATGAGAATCTCCAATTTATCTATTTAAGTTTCTAGCCCACATCTTTGGCAAGATGTTTGAAAATGTGAAAAATACATCTTTACAAGTTATTTTGTTATTTTGGAAGAAAACTTGACTCTTGCTTATTGACCACACTGGATTGACAATAATGGGGAAATCCCTTAAACTTTATGGAGTTGAAGATTAATGTAGATCGTCTCAAGATACATGGAGCAAACCCAACTTAATTTAGAGCTAGAATTTTGGTTCAAAATTCTTACTCAGAAGCCCCTCAAGTGATCAATTTACAATTACAGGACTATGCCCACAAGTTAAGTGGACAGAGACTTGCATTTTTCTCCCTTTAAGGGTGGTTTAAGATCACTGCAACAGATTATCCAATTGTAATTCAGAAAAATGTTTATACTTTCTAAATGTGATTGTACTCAAGTAAGAATTAGTTCTTGCACTAGAATTCAAGTAAGAATTAGTTCTTGCACTAGAATTCAACTAAGTCATATTTTTTTATTTCCATGGAATCTTGTAAAAACCATCAAGGATTTTTTTAAACTGATTAATACCTCAATTCTTAGACATCCTAATTGAGGAACCTATTATCATGTGCACATATTTTACAGAAAGATTCTATGTTAGACACAGTCCCGATTTATCAATGTTGAGACCACTCTAATTCTTTTGTGTGCTGGGATGGGGAAGAGTAGTTAGGTTCATAATGAAAACTCAGTTGCAACTTCAACTATTACTGATCCTAATATATGCCAACAGATATTTTTATTTGGTTCTTTGCCAAATACAGTGAACATATATTATATGCAGCGTGCCTTCAAATCCCTGCAAAAAATGTATTTAAAATTAAGAAAAAATTGAAGTTTAACCAGCATAATATTTTAAAATATGATAACTTTATTTATATACTTTTAACCATGAAGCTCCAAATTTAAATATAGCTAAGTACTTCATTAAGATTTATAAAAAAATCTACAAATATGGTTTATTGCAGCAAATACAAATGTTCAAACCTTTTAACAGCATCCTTTTTTTGATTATCTATTCCATCCCACCACTTTGAAAAGTAAGAGATTTCAGACCACATGAACTTCCTCCTGCTGTCTTCTTGCAGCTTTATCACCATGTTGTTTAGGATATGCTGTGTCTGATCTCTGAAGTAGTCATCAAAAGTCTTCAACCAACCTAAGTTAAAATAAGAATACATTGCATAAAAGTTTCACCCCAAAAGAAAATCTGCGTTAGTTTTAAATGTGTAATACTCATCATGTAACAGTCATTTAAATGCCCAACCCTATCACATTATGGCCTGTTTTGCAATGCTAAACTTTAATAAGCAATCTGAATCCTCCTAACCTGTTTTAAAGTCTCCATTTTTTGGTTTTACAATTTTATATCTTTGATTTTCCTCTAAAAAACATGGTCAACTTAAAAACCAACATTTCTGCCTGTTGTACTGCATTTATATTTATAAGTGATAAAACTCTTCTATTACAAAAAAGTCATATAGTTTTAATATAAAAACAACAACGAGCAGTCCTGTAGCATCTTAGAGACTAACGAATACATATCATCTTTCATGGTTAAAACCCACTTCATCAGATGCATGATGAAGTAATTGGTAGAATAATGAATTTGGTTATGGTGGTAGGGGAGAAATGATGGACACTAGAAAAATATAAGAAAATCTTTTCTTTGTGTGTGTTTCAACAGAGAAAACCTGAAGCTTAATTTTTGAAAGAGTACCATTTAAAATATAACCACCACAAAGAAATAATTTTAACTACTGACCTTTGTAGCTCCTCTGTTTAGAAGCCTACAGCTACTTACTGCCTCTTTTTTTGTTGGATACTATCACCAAGGAAACACATCAAAACGTTCAGCAGCCATTGTATTAGGGAAGGAAAAAAGTTACCTGGGACCTAGGCAGTGCCATTTCTCTCACCAGCACAATGTTCAAGCCTACCCTGACCATACACCCCCGAAGGCTTAGAAGAGGGGGTAGAAGTTTCCAATAGCCACCTGTCAGGCTTGCAGAGGGGGCAGGAGATGTGAAAAAAACCCAACAGGGCCACAATTCCACACACCCAATCCTATTACTTAAGGAAGAAGGTAACACACACTCAAACCCTCTTCTCCAAAAGATGTGAGGGAAGCTGCATTAAAGATGTTCCAACTTTGTCCTACATGCATGGCTGAAGAGAAAAACTTTTCCCCTAGGAAAAGAGTGAAGAAGAACATAGCCAACTAACAATGACTTATACTACATGGCTTTTACGAGACGCTAAAAATAGACACTAAGAAAAAGGATTCACTACTGAAGTTAATTAGGAATGGAAAAGGTACTTTGTGGATGTGTATCAATTCTACCAGCCTAAAACATGTAGCGGAGAGTGAGGAACAAAGATGCTGCTAAGCAGAAGGAGCTTAACTACTTGCCCAGATTTCAAATCGGTCTGTTAGGAATATCCCTTATTTAAAGCAGAAAATTGCCTATCCTATACTAAAATCAATACTTTTATGGAACGGCTTTTATCCTGTATTTCAACACCTTAAGATATCATGCAAAGCCAGTTTTTATTACCTTACCTTGCAATGATATAAAGTTTGCAAAATTAGACAATATAGTAATGCAGAATTAATCCCATGGTTTACTGAACCAATGTACCTACAGTACAGAGGTTCCCCAACTATGAGGCACTGCCCCCTGGGAAAGGAGATAAGTTCATTGTGGGGCATGAAGACCTGATGGAGCAGCAACGGGAGGTTAGAGTCAGGAAGAGACTCGGTCTACAAGGAAAAGATGGGCTCTGTACCATGGTTTCAGCTGCCAGTACCAAACTCCCTGCCTGCCTCACTCCAGCACTTCTGCAGTTGCAGCAACCATCAACCAACAATCATGCTTCTCTGCTAGGGATGCTAGCATACATTCTGCCTACAGGAAATGAAAGGCTACACTCTTAAGTATTCACTCCCCTGCCAGACAGAACCCCTCGCCTCTCAGCATAGCTCCGGAGCACATGACCCCATCCGCTTGCCCTGCCAGACAAAGCCCAAACCGTGACAGCCAACATGGAGGTGTTCAAGGACTGGAGTCAGCAGAGGGCCATTACTCCCAGGGTGCATCTTTCCACTCGCTTCCCAATCCTGCCCCTTCAGTGCTCCCTCATTCACTTCCACAGCTGGATGCCAGCAGCCAGACTACTTCAGGGAACATAATAGGGATGCCTACTTCCTAACTGCATAAAACTAAACACCCTGCCCTGAAGCTCTGCCCTGCCCCTTCTACAAGACCCTGCCTCCGCTCACTCCATTCCCCTTCCTGCCATTGCTTGCTTTCCGCCACCCTTACTTTCACTACAGCAGGAGGTTGGGGTGTGGGTTCTAGCTCAGGGCCAGGAATCAGGGCTTTGGAGTGCAAGAGGGAGCTCAGGCTGAGGTAGGAAGTTGACATGAAGGAGGGAGTGCAGGGTGCTAGCTCCAGGAAGTAGTCTGGGCACTGGAGGGGGCTGGGAGGAAATTTGCAAGTGGGAGAGGGCCCAGGTCCAGGGAACAGGGTTGGGGTGCAGGTGAGTGCGAGGTGTGGGCTCTAGAAGTATGTCTGGGTGCAGGAAGGGGCTCTGAACTCAGGAAGAGGTTAGGTACAGTAGGCAGGAAACAGGGCACAGGCTCCAGGCAGACAGTGCTTACCTCAGGCAGCTCTCGGTCAGTAGCACAGCAGGGCTAAGGCAGACTCCCTGCCTGCCCTGGCTCTGTACAGCTCCCAGAAAACAGCTGGCATGTCCAGCTCCTAAGCGGAGCAGCCAGGAAGCTCTGCATGCTGCCTGTTCCTTTAAGCTCTGCCCCCGCAGCTCCCACTGACTGCTATTCCCAGTCAATGGGAGCTGCAAGCCAGCACTGGGCCCAGGGGTTTCTCATGGACCTTCCCCAATCACCCCTCTGTCTAGGAGCTGCAGAAACATGATATCTGCTTCAGGTAGCTACACAAAGCAAGGGCCAGCAGAGAGCCTGTCTTAGCCTCACTGAACTGCTGAATGAATTTTTTTATGGCCTCGTCAGCAGTGCTGACCGAAGCCACCATGATCCCTTTCTGAGTGAGTATTCCGATTGAAAACCAGATGCCTGGCTATCCTGAAGTGGAAGTTTCCTTATCTATCTTATGGTTAGTACTTCCACTCCCCCGAGAGTACAGAGTACTCCTTCCCCAAAGAGGTGCTAAGGCAACAGTCCTTTATTTTTCTAATGCAGTGTTGGCAACTCTTGAAGAGAGGATATCTTGCCATGAGATTCCCCCCCAAAGACTCTATGAAAATGCACAGGGAGATCTCTCTCCCTTTCACAGGCCCTGCTATAAGCATTATTTCTTCATCCCCTTTTCCAGCAATGTACAAGGAAAGACATGATCCCTATCGACCCAGAACACAACCAGTCTCTTCTTTTTCCTGATGTCTGTAGCTCCAATATATATTGCTATTCAGTGATGACAAAGGGAAGAAACTGGAGGCATTTGAGTGAAAGCAGCAGCTGCAGAGCACGCCTGAATAGTAAGCAACAGATGAGAAACTTGTTTCTGCAAATTTTAAACACTGACTTTTTTTTTTTTTAAATTAAAGCTTCTACTTAGAACCAGAAATACCTTTGAATCCTTGTGGGCAAGCCAACTCTGAATTCTAAGAAATTCATCTTTATTCCATTCCTTCAAGACACTTGCCAACTAAGTCCAGTATTAGTTTTTTCTATTGAACTAAATGGTACCAGCACAAAAGAAAAATGAGTGACCTGCATCACCCTACAACTTAACACACTACTCTGGCAGTAACTAGAATTAAATATTACTTCAAAGACAGCAGATTAGTGCAAAAGAGTATTTTAGTGTGTAACAAATAGAAAACTATTCAAAGAAAATTTCCATTTTTACTAAAAAGAGCTGCTCTACCCAGATATTCAGAGCCTATATACTTACCTTATTGACTCAAATGCGGTTTGGTTTGGTTTATTACAGTTTTACTTCTGTTAGTATTGCAGAGCCAATACATTTTGGCAGAAATTAGCTAATTCTTTCGCAGCTCACACATCCACACTGTTGACTAAATTCAAAATGAAAAACTTTTATTATTGGTGATATACAATAGCCACAAAACAATAAAGCTTGACAATTAGGTTTCAGATTAAGCTTGCACAGGTGACACTCAGGGAAAAGATCTTTTTACTCAGAAATTGACTAAAATAGATTTTTTTTAGGTCACAGAGGAAAAACAGAACCACTCTCAGTATCAGTTTTCAGAGTGTAATAGCACTTTTGTAGTTTCCTTATGCAGCATCTCCTTAAAGCCTGAACTATGGCTATCGCTAAACTTTAAAAAAACCATTTAGAATCTACAGGAATCACCCTACAATTTTAAGTTTTAATAGACAGGTGACCTAAACTGTCTGACAAGGTCTATTAGTGGAGGGAAAGTGCATCTTGCAAGGAAAAAGTAATGAAAATAAGATTGCTTAAAAACTAAATATAGCATACACATTTTTTGAGATTGCAACAGGTTAACTGAAGTTGATAAGGTGAATTATACATGCAATAGTTTCAATGAGACTGAAAAAGGAAAACTAATAAACCATAAGAATTTATTATTTTCTCTAACATGCTGCTTTTATCAGAATGATAACTTGCTATGAACTACACCCATTTCAAGAAAAGTTTTGTTCTGGAACTTTTTATCCATTAGGAAGTTGCTTCAGAACTATTAATTCATTTTCCTTTTGCCTGTCATTGAAGACAAATATTTCAAATATATTTATGCAAATCAACATAACAGTATGATTATGAATTAAGGAACTCTTCCTACACCATGAAGTTCATTCTTGAATAGTTACAAATATTGCCATATTATCACACACAGAATGAACTGAAATATAGCTTGTTGACCTTTTTTCTATGCAGTGTAAAACAGGCACAATATAACAGTAAATTAGATTTCACTGCTGCTATACAATAGAATAATCACGAAGTTATTCATGCTGTATTTATTTGTACATGTTAATACAAAATTTAATACTTTAGTATGAGCCCAATGAAATGCAAACAAGTGATGTATTCAGCAAGAAGCTGCATATCAGATATTACAACGGAACGAAAACCACCCTGAAAACGCTGTGTGAAGTTTTGGCTTTGACTAGCCTTTAGTCCC